CCTGTCTGTATAATGTCTTGTGTCGTCCACGGCCTACCCCAGTTACCACTACTGTGCATGTGTGTCAAGGACAGAAAGGCAGATGTGGCAGTGGAAGGTGTCAAAGCAGTTTRGAGAGAAAAGCAAAGTAAAGAACAAAAAAAAGAAAACGATTAATCGATTGTTAGATTAATCACCGATTGTTTTAATAATCGATTATTCGTTGCTTAATTGATTAATCGTTACAGCCCTAGTCGTCTTCTTTCTCCTCTGGCTCAGACTCTGGCTCCAAAGTGTGTGGCTGGATGGACAAGTCTTCCATAGTTGACATCTTTTAATTATTTTGTTTAAAAAATGTTTTTGTGCTATTACATAGTCATAAAACCCTCTATCAAAGTATAATGGATCACTCTGGAAGCTGGTGTGTGAGTGTGAAGAAATTGTACTCAAGAGTAGCAMTTCCTCAATATACTTTTACTCAAGYAAAAGTAAAAATTATCAATCCATRAAATTACTCAATTATGTAAAAAACTATTTCATAAAAACGCTACTGATCATAACATTTGATTTAATTTTAAATGGTGTCATCAGACTAACCAAAAATAGAAAGTTATGCAAATTCTGGTACTTTTAAAGACTAAAATGATAAAAACGAATACAAATAATTAATATATTTACAAAATAACTACGATTCCAGTAGAATGAAACTTACAAAACTAAGTTAGAATATGTGTGAACAAAACAAAACAGGGTAAAGTGCTACCATTAACTATATCTACTGTTTGATACATACTCACTTGACCTCCAAATGTCTCCGTAGATAGAACATTTCATTAGAACAACAAAGCTTGTGTTTAAAAGGTCCTCTCCCAGAGCAGAGATGAATTGTTCAATTAGCAATACGGACACCTTCGAGGAGTAGCTTGTCTGCCTGCAGCTGACATCCACATCTTCCTTTCATTTTCGTGGCTAACAAAAAAAAAAAACTTTTTCCTATGCCGCTCCAACTTCTCTCCTAACCCTCCCTTCAAACATCTGAAACATATCACAGAGTGAAAAATACAACTGGACTATTTTTGTCATTTACAGTTCTGAGACCACTTTAAAATGATTAGTTTGTTTGTGTAAAATGAACGTTGTTATTTTATTCTATGAACTACTGACATGTCTTCAAAATTCCAAGCAAAATTTTAATATTTATTTGCAGAAAATGAGAAATGGTCAAAATTATGACAAAGATGCAACTTTCAGACCTCAAATAATCCACAGAAAACAAGTTCATATTCATTTTTAAACAACAATACTGATGTTTCAACTCCGGAAGATTTCAGAAATCAATATTTGGTGGAATGCTTTCTACCAAATACAAAGAAACTGTGCAGAGTCTCTTAATTTTTTTTCAGAGATGTATATGCTTAGCTCTGTGACATATTCTGCAGAGGGAGAAATTATGATTTATCTCCCGTGATCCTATTATTCTGTTCTATACACGAAAATRTTGAAATGGATTTAGGTTGTACATTGACAAAAAAAATTTACAAAATTTATCCCTGTGCATACAACCCCCAAACTTCATGGATGATTTTTGAGGTTGCATGCATAAATAAATAGTTTCCTCCAGGGATTTAAGTGGGGTATTATGCAAAATCAATTATTTTTTAGCTTTATATCATGTTATAATGTCATTCCCTTGTCAAAAACATCCAGCATGCTTTGACTCATGTTTCAGAAATCMTTGAATCTCCTGTGGTAGCCATGTGGAGTTACCTAAACACTTGCTGGTATAAAGCACAGCCTGTTTGTACATAACTCCTCCTTGGAGCTCAGTCTGCAGCCAAGCTCCTATCCCACAGAGCACCCCTCCCCTAGCATTTTTGTGAAGACATGCTGAAGTGGGAATGTCTGAAATGGTAATAGATTTTTTTAAGTGACAGAGGGTAATTTCAAAAATGTTTAGATAGGCTATGATCCAAAGTTAAAGTTAATTTTGATATATACAGCAGGTACTTCAAAGTGACTGGGCATTTTGTCTCAGTGACTGGAGCACAAATTGAAAAGGCCTATCACCAGAAAAAAATAAAAAAGGCAAACACTTTTGAACATCAGAGAACAGCTGTAAAAAAGACAGGAATTTTTTGTTGGTGGGATTAATAATGTTGGTGGGATGATCAGATTATGAGTTGACTAGTCTGTCTCACCACCTCAGCTGAATCCTTTGGATGTGGAGGAGCAGCAGCTCTACTGTGACACCCTCTGGGAGTTCATGCAGGTCAAAGACTGGTGGTTAAAAAGTGTCCAAATTAAAGAGAAACTACACCTTTCTCCTAAACAGCCTGGAACAAGAACTGGACCAAAGGTCCATGAAAACAAGTCTTCAGAAAACTTTGAAAGACTTTCAGAAAGCCTTGAGAAAAATGAGAAAAACGTCTGACTCATTTGAAGTAAAAAAAGACTTTCTCACGGAACATCAGATTTGCTCTTAAAAGCCAGCYTGAATGCGATCCTATTGTTTTGTGTTTCATCATTCTGCTCACAAAATAATCCAGTTTTAATAATGGATCAGGAAAAATCCTTCAACTTGGCAAATGTTTCTTTTTTCTCAACCACATGCTGTTACAGGTATGTATCTTTTAAGTTCTCCACACTACAATAAACAAAAAAATCTTTTTAAAAGTAATTAAATCAGTTCATGAACACCTTTTTATGGGGTGTCTGCGCTTTCTGTGTCTTCATGAAACTCTGCTGTTGAAATTTAAATATGTGGCTAAATATTTGCTTTTACCTATGACACYTCTTAAAATACTAATAAGAGGTGTGAATGAAGTTATAAAGGTGATGAAGGGGAGGCAGGTGATGTACTTCTTTTCCCCTGAAAACGTATGACGTGTTTTTTATGCATTTTTTTCCAGCTCATAGGAGCATTTTTCATGTGACAAGATTTATTCTTAAAGGATGAATTTATTCAGCTTGTATTTCTTCAATATACAATTCCATCAGGTGATAGCAAGCACACCTAATTGTCCAAGTAAAACTTACAGAGTGAAACAATACCCTGCAGATACAGACACCACACCATTTTTTGCAGCATATTAAATAGACAAATAAGGCTTTAACAAAGGCTAATGTAATAAAGTGGATTTGTTCTTTTTTAAAGGAT